GGCGGGGGCGGGGCCACCTGCCGCCGCACCCTCGGCCTGCTCGCATGCGGCTGGCAGGCCAAGTCGGGCTGCGGGAATGAAGGGAATCTTTCATCAATCTCCTCCCGGGCGGTTATCTCCTGTTGGCTTTTGTCCAACATGCTGGCCCACCCCACAATAAAATCAACTGGATTGAGATACATTTTTTTGAAGTTGATGGATGGTATACTTAAAAAAAAAAAATGTACCAGAATCCAGATGATTTTATTGAATGCAACTGCTTGACAAAATGGAGTAAATTCAACATCCAATTTTTTTTTTCCGTTTAGTTTTGGTTATTTTTAGAAACGTAAGCTGTAGTTTCAGTTCGTTTTCCTCATTTTAAAGCATTTTTTTTGAACCAAAATGTTTTCTTCAACTTTGGTATTAGTTCCCACGACCCCCCCCCACCCCCATGCATGGCCAGTGCCCAGGTTCGACCGTCTGCGTCTTTATCTTTTCTTCACCTGCCATTTTGATGTCCCACTCGGGAGCAAGGCGTCAAACTCGTTTCCCGCAGATACAATGTTGTCACCCCGCCCACCACCGCACCCGTCACCGACCATTAGGTCCCTGTGATGGATGACGGGGGGGGTGGTTGGCTGGGAACACCTCAGCTTGTGGTTAGTCGAGCTGGAGCGCGACTGCGTCCTGGCCAAAGCTAAAGCTCAAGCTCAGGCAGCCTCGTAAGGCTCCCACGGAAGAGCAAAGCCATATTTTCTTTGCGGCGGGAAATTCTGTTCGGCCTGCGCAAAAATCCCAGCGGTGAGCGAAAGCCAGAATGTGGGACGCTCGTACTTTCGAATGAGAGTTTCAGACAAGAGGGTCAGAGTTTCAAATAAGAGTTGACAAGCCGAGTTTCGGGTTCAGAGCGCGTGAGCGGTAAGTGAGGTTTAGAAGCAGGGATTACATTTAGGGTTGGGATTTCAAAGTAGGGTTTTCAGACAGGGTTAGGGTTACAAATTGGGGTTTTAACCCACGTAAGGGTTACAAAGTAAGGTTTCAAAACAGAGTTAGGTTCCAAGGAGCATGGTTTCAAATTAGGGTTTAAAAGCTAGGGTGTCAAGACAGAATTAGGGTTTTCCAAGTAGGGTTTCAAGACATGATTAGGTTGACAAATCGGATTTGAAGTGTGGGTTGGGGTTTCCAGATGTGACTGGGGTTATAAATTAGGGTTTGAAGACAGGGGTCAGGGTTTCAAGCCATTGTTACGAGTTATAGAGTGGTGCATTTCAAATGTTAGGTTTCAAATTTGGGTTTTTAGCCTGGTTTTTGGTTTGAAGCTAGGGGGTAAAGCCTTTTGATGTTGGGCTTCAAGACATGGTTAGGGGTTTAAATTTGGGTCCTGAAAATGTTTTGGGTTTCAAGCCAAGTTTTAGAGTTTTGAAATCAGGGTTTCCAATTTCTGGCTGGGGTTGAGGTTTCAAAGTAGGGTTTAGGACAAGGTGAGGGGGCTTTAGTTGGGTTCCAATACAGGAATAGGGGTTTAAGGTGCTTGTATTAGGGTTTAAACTTGGGGTTTGAAGCCAAGATTGGGGATTGGAAGTTAACATTTCAGGTTAGGGCTTGAAATGATGCTTTTCAAGCCTGGGTCAGGGTGTCAAGGTCAAGGTAGTCTTTCAAACTGGGGTTCGGGTTTCTATTTCCATTCGCTCCAATGTGAATGCAGTTTTTTCCAAAGGGCTAACAACAGGTGGAGTGAGGTTATCGAAAAATATTTTGGGGGATGGGGGGAGAGGGGGGATCGGAGAAAGGAAGAGAGGCGCGAGGTTTCGCCTTCACAGTAGGCGTCTCTTAATGGAGTGGCGTTTGCCACTCAAATTCAATTAGCCCGCGTCCATCACGGCGGCTGCGCAATCCAAACGCCCGGCGCTAATATTTGCACAGGGGCTCTAATATCAATACGCGGCCGTCAACGGCAACATTCAGCTGCCGATAGAGCTCCACACAGCATTTCCACTCGACATGTTGGAAGATGAGTGGCGGGCGGTAAAGTGACAAAGTGGGGCGACTGTAAATGGTCCGCTTGAGTCCACGGGGTAAACACATTTAAGCGAGGAGGTCAGAGGTTGTGTTGTGCCCGACAAATGCAGCCCAAAAGGTTTGTTTAAAGTGGAATCGTGGTTTTTGAGTTTCATATCATTCAGGTTCAGGCGATTTTTCTTTTTTTAAACAACATTTTGTTGTAGTTTTCTTTGTAAATCTACACACTAAAAAATGCTGGTTTGTTTTCCTGGGTTGCCGTGAATTTTGAGCAGATTGGGTTACTTTTACCCAAAGTTGAATTCATGATTTTGACCCCGTACGTTGGGTTGAAGACTGGATTTCAATCTGTTCACCATGTTGGACAGTTTTCTGTACAATTTAGGTTACTTTTGACCCAGTAGTTTTCTGAGCATAACGCCCCCCCCCCCCAAAAAAAAAAGCGACTTGGCTATTCATTCCCCGTAATCGGCGAAACGTTGTAAACTGTGTAATGTGTCGAACCCCTTAAACACAATAGAACAAAAACTTCAAAGTGGCACTAAAATGTTAAAGAAGGTGTTAAGAATTCAAAGTAGGGTTTCAAATCAGGGTTAAGGTTTGAAAATAGGGTTTAAAGACAGGATTAGGGTTTCTAATTATGATTTAGAGTCTGGATTGAGTTAAAAATTGCTTTTCAATCCTGGATGAGGGTATCAAATGCGGGGTATAGTTTCAAATGACGGTTCTGAAGAAGAGTTTAGGTAAAGGCTTAAAAAATTACAGTTTCAAGACAGGTTGTGGTGTCAAATTAGGGTTTCAAGACAGTGTTATGTTTTTATTCAAATCACCTGAACTCTTAGGAATCATTCTCACTGACTCACTCACACACACACACACACACACACACACACACACACACACACACACACACACACACACACACACACACACACACACACACACACACACACACACCTGTGCAAATGAAACAAGATAATCGGTCACAAGGTCGGTAGAATCTGCGCTAAGGAATGTCAATAATCGTGTCTGACGTGGAAGGCGCCCCGTTAGCCTCATCCGTGATGACCCAAACGCCGCTGCTTCTTTCTTCCCGGACGCAGCAAATGAGGCGCAAATAACACGTTGGTACAAACTCATTGCACAATCTGCTTTTTTTTTTTTGGGGCTCTGCGTCCCGAGCGCTTGCCGAGTCGCCGTCCACGCGAGGGAATTCTGGTCCTGATGTAAGGGCGTTTAGCAAAACCATACCCCCACCCCCCACGCTTTGACAGTTTGCTCTCATTAACACGTGAAACCCTTCCAGCAAGGAGAGGTTTGCTCATCGCTTCGAGGCTGTTGGGGGACATTGCGAACGCCGGTTGGGTGCCAGAAAGAGAGCAAGTGACGTGTCACGCCGACCTCGCCGTGACCAGCGCGGCCCCTCGTCCTCGTAAGGGGGGAGGGGGGGGAAACAAGCGGACTTGTTTCCAGGAAGAAGAGCCAAATAGGTTTGTGTCAGCGGGGCCGAGAAGTTCATCCTCCAAACGGGATCGCCCTTGCGTTCCCGCCGGGAATGAGGATGAGAAATCGGCAGAAAACAAAGCGAGAGGCTCTGCGGGACACAGTTGTGACCTTGATAATATTATCGGTGTGATTCATTTATTTGTCAAGTCCACGGAGATTCTCTTGTACAATCCCGAAGATGCTCTCGCTACGGTCGGCCGGGCTTGAATCACAATGCTACGTGCTCAATAAATGAGCAGGTTGGCAAAAAAAAAAAAAAAAGTCCTCCCTGTCATTGTCCACGTTGTCGACGAGCTCACATATTTTTCCAGCTGGCAGTTCATTTGAAAGAAAACGGTGCGCAAGCATGACCAGTACGCAATCAATGGCACCTGTTGTATGACACGGGAAAAAAAGTGGGGGACTAAGGTATGCCCTCGTATGTGGGCAAGGAGTGCCTCAGTCGCTGTTGCGCTCTCAGGCGCTCTATTTAACGGGACAAGCAGCTTGAGGACACTCACAAGGAGTTGCTGTCGGCTACATCTCATGCAACCTGACTCCGGTTTATGACATCAGTCACTAGGCCACGCCCCTTGAAGGCACACAGCTAACATACCCATTTTTTCTGATGCCAAACATGTGCCTTGGTGCAATGTATGTTGGGACCCCGAGCCAAAATGACGTTGTAATCCGCCCTTTTTTTTTTTTTTGTGGTGTGGGGGGGGGGCCCTAGGTGTCCCAATACTTTTGTAGGACGCTGTCTTTTTTGTTTTTATGCTCTTTTGCAATAGCTCACATTAAATCAAGAGGTTTCATGTTCATGGAGTGTTTTCGCTCTCTCATCTCGTGGCTACATAACGTCGTCCTGCGGCCAGTACGCAGACGTTTTGTTAATGAGCAACGTTTGCGATGCCTGTCCGCCCGCCCACATCGGCCGCCCAAAGTCAGCCATCGGGCACTGATTTTTCCATCCCTTCCAGGTCGTTGAAATTCATCTTTTTCAATGGCATTTATCAAATTTGAAATTTGCAGTTACAGACGCGGTTACAAGCATGAGCTTGCGCCTATGACAGATGCGTGAGGAGATGTGGAAAATAAATTGCAGGGATGAGAATCAGTTCCTGAATGGTGAGATTTTCCCTCAATGACTGCCCCTCCCCCCAAAAAAAAAATCCTCAAACAGACGAATATACTGTACGTGGTCCACTATACTCACCCGTCCCTGTTGCCCTCCATGGGCGACAGATGACGCGGGCTGTTGAGGTCCAGGTCCAGGCAGTGCTGTCGTGAGGGCAGCTCGGCGGCGGTCGCGCTGGCAGCGGCGGCGGCGGGGGTGGCGAGGAGCTCGGCGGAGGCGCTGTGGTGGTGGGGGCCACCGGGGTAAAAGCCTTGAAAGACAAACCCAGCTAATTGGTCAAACGTGCCAAAC